GTCCTCCCCGGCCGCCACCCCGCCGCCGTCGCCTGGGCCAGCCTCGATGACCGCATCCCTCACGTCGGGTACGGCCCGGGTGGGACGGGCCGGGCGCCTCATGCAGCCGAGCCGGGACACGGTGGCCGCGGGGGAGCTATCGCCGGTGGGGTGACTCGTCCGTGACCCACCGTGACCGTGTCCCCACAGCTGGGCCTTCCTGGAGGTGACCACCAACGCCTCGTACAATGACAGCCTGCAGGCCTACGCTGCTGGGCTCGCCGAGGCTGCCGTCACCGAGCAGGTAAGGAGGGACCCCTCCAGAAATGCGTGCCGTGGTCCCTCCCCGGGCTGTCCCCCGCCGGTGACAGCGCTGCCCTGTCCCCCAGCTGATGTACATGCACTGGATGAACACCATGGTGGGCTACTGCGGCCCCTTCAAGTACGAGAGCGAGTACTGCCAGAAGCTGCGCAACTACCTGGAGGCCAACCTGGCCTGGATGGAGGAGCAGATGGCGAAAGGGCAAGACCCCGAGTACTGGCACCAGGTGAGGATAGGGACCCCCCACCCAGGGACCCATCCTGGATCCTCCTGGGCCTTTAGTCCAGTGGTCAGTGCTGGGCAGCGAGCTGTCCTGGCTGAGCTCCAGGCAGGATGACAGGGATGTGGTCACTCCTTCCTGGACTCGTCACTTCTCCTCGCCAGAGCCTCGCATGCTGCAGCTGGGGTGCACAGGAGGTGGCTTTGTCACCCTCACCATGGGTGCTGAGTCATGACCTTGCTAGCAGTGACACTTCCCCCCTGTGCCTCTGCAGCAGCACTGAGACCCAGCTGATCTGCTCTGTCCCCTGGGGGAATGAGGGAGCCTGTCCCCCAAAACCTCTCAGCCCGCCTCCTCACAAGAACTGGGTGCCAGCTGTGTCCCCTGTCCCCAGGTGCGCCTGGCCCTGCTGCAGCTGAAGGGGCTGGAGGACAGCTACAACAAGCACCTGGACTTCCCCAGGGACAGGATCACCCTGGCACCCTTTGGCTTCCTGTAAGCTCCTTCTCAGAGGTGCTGGGGATTGAGGGATGGTTGTCCCAGGGTTTGGGGACAATTCCTGCTTGTCCAGGAACAGCCAGTTCTACTCCCAGCCCACTTTGTCCACCTTTTCTGGCCGCTTGTCTTCTTCTGCTGGAGCAGGATGGAGCCAAGGCAGGTTGTCCTCTTCCCTACCCCATGGGCTGGGTGGTGGGTTCCCCGCTACAGCCCCTGCCTCAGTTTCCCCACTGCTGTGCTCCCCCTTTCCTCCCTGCTCATGCCACCAGGGTGCTCCCAGCATAAGTGCCTGCACTGGGATGTGGTAGAGATGGACAGACAGACAGAGAGCTCTGAGCCAGCTCTGCTCCAGGGCTGGGGCATCCCTCACCTGACATCTTACGCCTTGCTTGCCCCCAGGCTGCTGCAGTTGGGAGGTGACCTGGAGGACCTGGAGTCTGCCCTGAACCGCTCCTCCCCGCAGCGTGTCCTGGGCTCGGGCTCCTGCTCGGCTCTCGTGAAGCTGCTGCCAGGCCACCGGGACCTGCTGGTGGCCCACGACACCTGGAGCTCCTACCAGGCCATGCTGCGCATCATCAAGAAATACACGCTGCCCTTCCGCACCTCGGCCGGCGGTGCGTGCGCTGGGCTGGGGGGGCTGCGCCTCACACCCCCCTTCTGATGCTCTGCATCCCCCCCTCCAGGCAAGTCTCAGATCCCTGGGAGCGTCCAGGTGTTCTCCTCCTACCCTGGCACCATCTTCTCCGTGGATGACTTCTACATCCTCAGCAGTGGCTTGGTGAGTGGGTCTGGTCCTCAGGGACCTCTCCCCAGCCCTGCTGCCCTCCCCTTCACTCCCTGCCCTGCAGGTCGCGCTGGAAACCACCATTGGGAACAACAACCCGGCCCTGTGGAAGTACCTGGAGCCCCGGGGCAGCGTCCTGGAGTGGCTGAGGAACATCGTGGCCAACCGGCTGGCCCGCAGCGGGCCCGAGTGGGCCACGGTCTTCCGACGCTTCAACAGCGGCACGTGAGTGGGGTGGGATGGGGCCTGGGAATTGGTCCTGGAGCTGTGGGATCGGATGGAG